GCACTCTGTTGTGCTGCATGGGTACAATGCGTAGCAAAAACGTGGGGCACGAGGTCCGGTGTGTCCCCGCTTTCCGTGTGGGATGGAATTCATCTCCTCGTGGCGTACGGATTGATGTGCAACTCCTCGACGAGTTTCGTCGGCGTTGCCTGTCTGAAGCTTATCTTGTTATTTTTACGGGAAGCCGCAACTGCTCGAGCACGAACACAGCAGAAACAAAGTGACTGAAGAGTGAAGGCGTCCAGACAGTCATGAAGACCGTGAAACAACTATGGTGCCGACGATGACAAGGCCAAAGATATGAAACCGACGAAAACCTACGATGATAGGAAACTACAATCAAGCCCTCATGCGAAAGAATAGCACGAAAATCGCCTTAAGGAGTTCTCCGCGATGGGCTGACAGGGGGAGAAGGCCGGGGCGCAGGGACTCCCGAAGGGAGCGGCACCATCGGTAGCAGTATCAGGGACGAGAGTGCTGATCCTCGGCAGCAGGGTTTTTCCCGCGGCGCCGGGGGGAGACAGCCGGGCCACAGGCACTCGTGGTGGGAGCGGAAGCATCGGCAGCAGCACCGGTGGCGAGAGTGTGAACCCCTGGCAGTCATGGGTTCCCCGCGACGCCGGCTGCCGGGACCGCCGGGGTGCAGGCACTCGCAGCTAGAGCGGTACTATCGGCAGCAGCATATGGGACGAGAGTGGTGAGCCCCGGCGGCTGGGCTATCCCCGCGGCGGCGGCGGCGGGAGAGACGGCCGGGCCGCAGGCACTCTTGACGGGAGCGGCATCATCGGCAGCAGCACCGGCGGCGGGAGGAGGGACCACCGGCAGTCATGTGTTCCCGGCGACGCCGGTCGTCGCGGCTAGAGCGGAACCACCGGTAGCAGTATCAGGGACGAGAGTGGTGAGNGTAGCAGCATCGGTGGCGAGAGTGTTGACCCCCAACGGCAGGGCTTTCACCGCGGCGGCGGCGGGTGAGACGGCCGGGCCGCAGGCACTCGTGGCGGGAGCGGCAGCATCGGCAGCAGCACCGGTGGCGAGAGGGGGACCAACAGCAGTCATATGTTCCTGGCGACGCCGGCCGTCGGGACGACCGGGGAGCAGGCACTCGCGGCTAGAGCGGAACCATACGGCCGAGCCGCAGGCACTCATGGTGGGAGCGGAAGCATCAGCAGCAGCACCGGTGGCGAGAGGAGGGACCACCGGCAGTCATGTATTCCCGGCGACGCCAGCCGTCGGGACGGTCGGGGCGGAGGAAATCGCGGCTAGAGCGGTACCATCGGTAGCAGCACCGACGGCGAGAGTGTTGACCCCCGGCGGCAGGGTTTCCCCGCGGCGGCGGAGGGGGAAACGGCCGGGCAGCAGGCACTCGTGGCGGGAGCGGCAGCATCGGCAGCAGCACCGGTGGCGAGAGGAGGGACCACCGGCAGTCATGTATTCCCGGCGACGCCAGCCGTCGGGACGGTCGGGGCGGAGGAAATCGCGGCTAGAGCGGTACCATCGGTAGCAGCAGCGGCGGCGAGAGTGTTGACCCCCGGCGGCAGGGTTTCCCCGCGGCGGCGGAGGGGGAAACGGCCGGGCAGCAGGCACTCGTGGCGGGAGCGGCAGCATCGGCAGCAGCACCGGCGGCGAGAGGGGGACCAACAGCAGTCATATGTTCCTGGCGACGCCGGCCGTCGGGACGACCGGGGAGCAGGCACTCGCGGCTAGAGCGGAACCATACGGCCGAGCCGCAGGCACTCATGGCGGGAGCGGAAGCATCAGCAGCAGCACCGGTGGCGAGAGTGTGGACCCCTGGCAGTCACGTGTTCCCCGCGACGCCGGCTGTCGGGACCGCCGGGGTGCAGGCACTTGCGGCTAGAGCGGTACTATCGGCAGCAGCACCGGCGGCGAGGCAAAGGGCCGGGCCGCAGGCAATCGTGACGGGAGCGACATCATCGGCAGCAGCACCGGCGGCGAGAGGGGGACCAACATCAGTCATATGTTTCTGGCGACGCCGGCCGTCGGGACGACCGGGCTGCAGGCACTCGCGGCTAGAGCGGAACCATACGGCCGAGCCGCAGGCACTCATGGCGGGAGCGGAAGCATCAGCAGCAGCACCGGTGGCGAGAGTGTGGACCCCTGGCAGTCACGTGTTCCCCGCGACGCCGGCTGTCGGGACCGCCGGGGTGCAGGCACTTGCGGCTAGAGCGGTACTATCGGCAGCAGCACCGGCGGCGAGGCAAAGGGCCGGACCGCAGGCACTCGTGGCGGGAGCGGCAGCATCGGCAGCAGCACTGGTGGCGAGAGGAGGGACCACCGACAGTCAAGTGTTCCCCGCGACGCCGGCCGTCGGGACGGTCGAGGTGCAGGAACTCGCGGCTAGAGCCGTACCATCGGTAGCAGCACCGACGGCGAGAGTGTTGACCCCCGGCGGCAGGGTTTCCCCGCGGCGGCGGCGGGGGAAACGGCCGGGCAGCAGGCACTCGTGGCGGGAGCGGCAGCATCGCGAGCAGCAGCCGCGGCGAGAGGGGGACCACCGTCAGTCATATGTTCCCGGCGACGCCGGCCGTCGGGACGGCCGGGGTGCAGGTACTCGCACCCAAAGCGGTACCATAAGGCCGGGCCGCAGGCAGTCGTGGCGGGAGCGGAAGCATCGGCAGCAGCACCGGTGGCGAGAGTGTGGACCCCTGGCAGTCATGTGTTCCCCGCGACGCCGGCTGCCGGGACCGCCGGGGTGCAGGCCCTTGCGGCTAGAGCGGTACCATCGGCAGCAGTATCAGGGACGAGAGTGGTGAGCCCCAGGGCGAGGGGCGAGGGCGCGAGGGCGAGTGCCAGATGCGGCGTAACCTCTTCTAGAAGATGAGAAGATCGCCTTTCCGCAGGTTCTTTTGGAGTCTGGGAACCGTTCTTGGTTCCTCGGGAACGATTCGAACTTCTTTTTCTCCGCCCGCGGCTGTTCTTGCTCTGTTTTTTTTTTTTTCTTAATATGACACAACGACTCCATCTCTATCATAGAAAAGAGTCAGAGACAGATTAACAATGGAATCATAGAGTCAGAGAAAACTACTTGTGTGTCTACGATTTCCCAGACAGCATATAGGGACATCTCCCCTGTGGGTAACAGGCTCAATAAATCAGTTTGGTAGCTGTCTTGTGTGTCTCATATATGTTATGTTGGGAAGGTGAGGACGAAAGGTGTTGGGTACTGTTGGGTAGTCGGGCGTTTTGTGTGTCGCACCCTATTAGTTGTAGGACATGCAATCTCCATCAGTTTACAAACATATTCTCAGTTTGGTATGCATATGTGCGGAGTATGTGCGGCTGATGTGCCGTCTCTATCATAGAGTTTTTCCGCCATGCCCGACGGCATGCGTAACCCAACGAATCCATATCAAATCGTTGCTGATTTATCCACAGCAATGTATAGGACGAGAACGCACACACCAGACAGCAGACAGCAGACAGTGCGGGTGGTCTTCGTGACATGAAGTGTGTTGCGTGAAGAAATGCAATTTGAGTCCACTGTACCCGGTGGTACACATACATGATGACTACTTGAAGTGTAGAACGCGCCGGACACACCCACCCGGTGGGGCGTCCCCTACGCTCTAGAATTTCCTCGCCACCCATGCATCCTATACAGCA